GTTAAGTGAAACGAATAGAGGTTAAATAAAAAGGATATTCTTCGTTGCTACGTTAAAATTCGAACTTACGAATCCAATTATGTTTCTTATTTTTTTTCCGAAATATTTAAATTGGACGTTGGAGGTAAAGTTTCGCGTTAATTCGATCCATTAAACTCACGTGCTTCTTGTTGGGAGTGGGTTGTGACAGTAAAACGTACAACTCGTTAAAAAATTACTCGTTCGAATAACCCTTTTCCATTTATCCTCTGATTAACGATGAACTGCCGCGGATTTCACGCTGTCCATTTTCAATATAATTGTCATCATAAGTCACGCACCCGTAGTAATCTGTATATACGCGTCGAGTGGATATGTTTCTTTTCATTCCCACATTCATGTGCATAGAATTCCTCGTACAATATAATCGATTTTGAAACGCAATTTCTTTGTCTTTCTGTCCCTGTTATACGAATCGTCTGTATCTTTATAAAGGCAGGCATATTAACTCTTGAAAATTCTCTGTAAATTAGAACGACGTTTGCAACCGTCTCTCGCCGTTTTGGGTACAAATAATTGACATAATTACTTGTAAGCCACTTACGGATATAACATCGACAATCTTTTATTACAAGTTATTATGTGCAAATTGTGTAGTTTGTCGTGTTGGCGATATATTTATAAATTATAAAATTATAAAATTAATATAGTACAATATAATAGAATTATAAAATTAAGGAAGCATGTATTTTATCAATTTGTTACATACAGAATGTTATAGAAAAATATAGCCTATTTTAGTAGTTTTGTGTCTTACGTCGCAATTACGTTCAGGTAAGTGCGTGATCGTCACGCGAATGTAGTGGTAATTTTAATTCCCCTGCAACATCAGTATCATCATTATCTTGTTGTCCCGACGAATGTTTGACGAGAAAATTATTATATAATTTACCGATTAGTCGCCTGGAGCAGCCAACTACGATGACATAGAAGCGTAATATCTTCCGTCTTTATCCTATTCGATAAACCGCAGACTTATTCAGCGGGTGAAATTGAATGGAAAATCCTCTCTTTGCGGATGCGTGAGGTGGTTTCCTTGAATATATTGGGTTTCAAAGCGTTCGTTCAGGTGTGCGAAGTAGGAAGTACATAACAGCAATTATTTGTAGACAAAACGCGGACAAAAAAAAAAAGACGGGATTACGCCTGTATTTTTTGCGCGATTGCTTCACGTTCATCGTGATCATAATGTAGAAAATGATTTCGCTGTACATATATATATATATATTCGCAACAAAGGTTGCAGTCTCTAGTATGATAAGTTATATTGGTAATTATTTATAATAGAAAACATTTCATGATTTTAATGAGCTTGGAATATGTTGTCACATCGAATAATTTTTCCCTATAATATATATATATATATATATGTACAGCGTAATACATATATATATATTATAGGGAAAAATTATTATAATATATATTATATAATTATAATATTATAATAATATAATATATATAATTATAATAAAAATTATTATAATATATATTAAACTATTATATATATAATATATAATATAATTATATATATAATAGTTTAATATGTTATATATATATAATTATATTATACATATATATACATATACATATATACATACATACATATACGTATATACATATTTATATATAATTATATTATACTATTATATATATATATATATATATATTATAATAGTCACTCGGTTTTAATTTTATGCAAAAATGTGTTCAATTATATGCGTTCGGCAGATTTGCCTTAGATTTGATAATAAAAGAGCAGATTTCTGAATTTTACAATTTCAAATGATAGATTTAAATTTTTCGATTTTTTTTTTAGAATAAAAATGAGAGTCTCGATCGATATTAATTTTAAGATAATTGAAAACAGTGTGGATAAATAAAATATAGAAGAAACGTTGTTTTGGATCTCTTCGCGTGTTTGCATATTTTAAATTCTACGGAGATCTTTTTTCCTGTTTTGTTATTACATTTTATTCACCCTAGTAAATGCAACAGCAAATAGAACTGAAAACTAGCGTTCGGTAACTAAAGGAACTGGAACAGGTCGCACGATACTGTTGCATTGTTTTGTTTCGAATGGTAAAAATTAAATTATAAATCTCATTGGATAAACGCTTGGTTTTTACGCGCGAGCAACACATAATCATTTCGTCTCACTACATCGAAAGTAGCGCGGAAATTTCACAAAAAGTTTAATTCTTTAATGGTTAATCGTACAAAGCAATTTATTCATATTTATTTACTACGAAAACTTAAAAGTACATACAATTTTTTGCATCTGACATCAGAAACACTGCTTTAGAATTTTGAATGTTTCGCTATTTTATTATCCTGTCGAACGAATAATGTCAAACAAAAGCTTCGCCAATGTATCGATTCTTGTAACGATTCCCCCCCCC